CCACAACCTATAGTTGGTGGACTTCCTTCCCTTAGACTTGACCATCACAGATGTAATTTTGAGGACGAAGTGGCTGCGAACACTTAGGGAGATGAAGGTGGATTGGAAGACCCTCACAATTCCATGTGGAGGGTAGGAAGGTGATGCCGAGAAGAGATGTCAATTTATACAAAACCATGGTGCCACTTAAAACCATGATCAAGTAGATTCAAGGAGGGTTGGGATACTAGTGCTGTAGAGCATTGAGGAGATTCGAGATTCAAAGTTGGCAAAGTTTCTTGAAGGGATCCAACAACTCCTACAGTAGTTTACAAATGTCTTCTAACAATAGAGCAAGTTACCTTCCCCAAGGGAGCACGAGCATGCTATTACCTTGAAGGAGGGTGTTTCCCCCATCAACGTCAAACCATACAGGTACCCCCAGATTCAGAAAGATGAGATAGAAAATCTGATCCGAGAGATGCTCGAGGTCTAGATTATCAGACATAGTGTGTGTTCTTTTTTTAGTCCAGTCCTATTGGTGAAAAAAAAAATGATAGTAGTTGTTAATTTTGCGTGGACTATCGGGCTTTGAACAAAGAGATGGTGTTGGACAAGTTTCCTATACTTGTGATTGATGAGTCACTGGAAGCTTTATGGGGAAATCATTTTCTCAAAATTTGATCTTAAGTTTGGATACCACCATATCAGGATTAATTCAGCTGATGTGCACAATATGGCGTTCAAGACACATAAAGGGCATTATGAGTTCTTAATGATGCCTTTTGGCGGCGACATTTCAGTCCCTCATGAATAGTATTTTTCAACATTGCCTCTGGAAATTTGTCCTGATTTTCTTTGATGACATTTCGGTCTACAGTCGTACAGAGGTAGAATATGTGGGGCACCTAAGGACAGTCCTGGAGATCTTGAGGAAGCATTTGTTGTATGCAACTTGAAGAGATATTCTTTTGCACAATTGCAGGTGAAGTACCTAGAGGATGTGGTGACCTGAACAGGGGTAGTAGTGGATCAGTCCAAGATCGAGGCTATGGTTGATTGACTCTTACCAAAGAGTTTGAAGGAGTTGAGAGAATTCATGGGTCTCACCGGCTACTACTGGAAGTTTGTGAGAGGATATGCATGATAGCATGGCCACTGACAGAGAGCAGTTGAAGAGAGACAATTTCAAATGGAGAGAAGCAGCAACATATGCATTTGAACATCTAAAGCGAGTCATGACTAGCGTACCGGCATTAACACATCCAGATTTCAATAAACCATTTGTGGTGGAGACAGATCTGTCAGGGTATAGATTGGGAATAGAGCTCATGTAGGATCAGTGATCGATTACCTACTTCAGCCAGGTTCTTACAGCTAGAGCGAGATTAAAGTCAGTATATGAACGAGAATTGATAGTAATTGTCTTGGTCATTCAGAAGTGGTGGTCCTAATTGTCGGAACGACATTTTTTAGTCATGACAGATCAAAGGAGTTTAAAGTACCTCTGGGGCAACGGATGTTGAATGAGAAGCATCAGAGATAGCTATCCAAGATACTGATGAACTGTCGAGAACAAGACAACTGACGAACTGTCGAGAAAGGTGGAGGAACTCCAATTGAACTGTCGAGAAAGGTAGAGGAACTCCAATTGACGGCCCTATCGGTACCCTTCGTCCTAAATTGGAAAGCTTTGAGACAAGAGAGCGAAGGGGATGAGGAGCTGAGGAAAATAAGAACCGAGATGTTACATGATCTAAAAAGTCATCCAGGATATGCGTTGAGGGGACGACTACACCAGGAGTGATTTGTGCCTCCCAAGTCGTCAGAATATATTCACAGATTATTACAGGAGTTTCATGATAGTGTGATCGGAGGACACTCAGTGGTGCAAAAAACCTACAATCGACTGGCGGTAGAGTTTTATTGGGTGGGAATGAGTAGAGACGTATATGGTGGCAAAATGCGATGTCAACGACACGAGTACTAAACCACGACAACAGGAGATTTACTACAGCCATTGACATTACCGGGGAAGGTTTGGGAAGAAGTGACGATTAATTTTATCGAGAGGTTGTCACGGTCAGAAGGATTCACGGTGATCATGTCAGTCGTGGATTGTCTTAGTAAGTATGCATTTTTCATTCCCTTACGATATTCCTACATTGTGGTCTTAGTTGCAACAATGTTTATCCAAGAGGTGTTTCGTTTGCACGGAGTGTCGAAATCGATAATATCGGATAGAGACAAGATGTTCCTCAACCACAGTGTCGAAATCGATAATATCGGATAGAGACAAGATATTCCTCAACCACTTTTAGAAAGAGCTATTTAGGTTACAAGGGACAGTCCTTAAGAGGAACAACTCATATCATCCTCAGATCGATGGGCTAACGGAGGGGTCAACAGGAGTGTGGAAACATACCTGCGTTGTTTTGTATCTAATACACTGAAACAATTGGTCAAGTGTATTGCTTGGGCTGAATATTGGTATAATACTTCCTATCAAATCACAACACAGTCCACCCCTTTCAAGATATTGTATGGACGGGATCCACCTCAGTTGATACATTATGGGCATAACGTTACACCGGTATCTAGTGTCGATCAGTACTCGGAGGAGAGGGATAGGATATTAGCAAAGCTAAAAGGATATTTACTAAGAACTCAACAAATCATGAAGAGGAAAGCGGATATAAATAGAAGAGAGGTGCAGTTTGAACGAGTTAACATGCTCTACTTGAAGTTGAGACCCTACCGATAGAAGACGTTGGCCAGGAGGAGCGAGAAACTTTTTAGCGATACTTTAGACCATATGAGGTGATGGAATACATTGGGGCAGTGGCTTATTGCTTGAAATTATTATCATTGTCCACATTACATCCGGTCTTCTATGTATCACAATTGAGACGTGCGATTGGAAATCATATGCCCTCGTCTACATTGCTACCAACGCTGAAGGAGGACTATGATTTTAGAGCGGCTAGAGATCAAATGAGTGCGCCAAGGAATAGGGGGAGCAAAAGAGGTACTAGTCAAGTGGAAATGTTTGTCAGACTATGAAGCAACATGGTAGCCTTTTTAGATGATTCACAAGCAGTTTTCATACTTCCACCTTTAGAAGAAGGTACTTCTTTGGGAGGGGAGTATTGTTACGCCGGACATAACAAGACCGGTCCATCCTGGACCGGTCGAATGCCCATCAACCGACCCTCTTGGCCGATTTGGGTTGCGAGAAAAGGCTGAACGGCAATCTGTCACGGCGAAAATTGGCATGGAGCGGCAATTTGTCGTGGTTGAAGAATGCAGGGAATATGAGGGGTCCATGAGGGCCTTAATCACATACATAAGGAGAAATTAGAGGAGTTTGGAGGGAAAGTTGGAAGGAAAGTTTTGAATTGCAATAAGAGATTTCTATTGAAGGGAGTAACCTAGAGTTTGTCTTTTTTATGCATGTCTTTTGGGTTGTTGTGTTTTTTCTTCTTCTTGTGGTGTTCCTAGCAACATCTAAGGTTGTGGGAGAGCCGATCTACCTCTCGAATAGTAGATCACTCATGTATCTTGCTCGTTCTCCTTTGTTTTTTGTAAGAGGAGCCTTCATTTGATATTTTCATTTATATATTTTTGTTTCGCCATCTTTTGCTCGTTGATTTTGATCCCGAGGCGTATCAGTTTCTTTGTTGAGTGTAATAGTTTCAATGTTTTAACTTTGTAATTTTATATTACATGTTTGCAATGCCTGTAATTAGGATTACAGTTGATGCCAACTTTTGAAGCACAGTGATGATTTCATCAACTAAAGAAACAAGTTAAACATGATCGAAAACTGGATGTACTGAAGATTTTTTGAAAGATTTTAAGAGGAGGATAATCTAGCGCATTCCTTCTAACGTGATGGCGAGAGTCCCATATAAATAATTGGTTGAGTTTCCTCGGTATACGTTTAAAATTGATTCTATTTTTGATACTTATTCATAATATATACTTATCCAAATTATTTTTAAAATTGGAAAGCCATCCGTATTCTGTTGTCTTTCTTTTTTTTTTTTTTTGATCCCATCGTCCTTAACACAATTGAAAAGTCCAAATTTTTTGCCTAAAATCTTTTATGGTCATGCACCTTATTGAGGATGCCTTTGCCAACAGATACTTGATCATTGGATCTTTCTTTCAAACTTAATTATCTAAAAATTCATTCATGAATATCCTCCTGGATCAGAGCAAGTACAATTGAACATTTAAGAAGTTCATAATTTATGAAGTAGTATAAGAATGCAGGTTTAAACTGTCAAGACTCAAAAGCAAAGTTCAACACGTCCAATCTAATTTAAGTGTTTGTATCTAACAGCATTGATTTGTTGCATAACTAGAAATGCGAGTACCTAAACATATTTGTAAGTATTGGGGCCAGCTAAAATTTTAAGAGCTTATGGATGTGTCACTGCACATCTTATGGAAATATCTACGCTCCACAATCTTTATTGTGTTGCTTGGGTACTCGTCTTGGTGGATAAGTTTTTTTTTCTGCTTTGGTTATTTCATGGGATTGTTGTCATCACAATCAAAAAAAGTGCTTCTGCATACATGGCACAAATCTATGACCTTTCTCCTTTCCTATTTTAAATTGGTGCATTCCCTTTCTCCATGTTGATTGATAAATCTGAACTTAAAATTTGCTTAGATTTCTTCTTTAAAAATGTTTTCAGTCTAAAAGCATGACTCCATTTTTCCGATGTAGATCCTATATTTAAAGTAGACAAAGTTTCACCGCATGTATAAGTGATCCCTGAATAAGGTAAGCAGCAATACATTGAAAGCCAACAAGCAATGTTTAAACTAACTATTTTTTCATGTCATTTTTAGAGCTATTTTTTTATTGCATACATTGCCTCTTACAAAAACTGCTCTGTTTGAAATTGCATGATACTTTTACTTATTAAATCCGAAAATCATAAATAACGTGATTTTTATTCCAACCAATTCTCTTTTTTTCTTTCTAATCTTTTATGTTTGCCGTTTAGCTTGGTCTGCAGGCTATTGTTAATGGAGCCCTTTGCTCAGTTTGTCTGTTAGTTCCATTTGCTGCTTTCCAAGCTTATGGATACTACAATAAATGCTTTCACGGTGCTTCAGATGGGTTAAGACCATGGTGTAGCTCAAGAGTACCTAATTTGTATGGTTATCTTCAAAGTCACTACTGGTACGTACTTCAAGTTTTGCACATTCTTAACATTTAATTTGGCATTTGTTTTATTTTTCAAACAACTAGCACTTTTTAATAACTTTTATTACATATTAATATGGATAGAAGTTTTTCAAAATGATTAATGAGACTAGCTTTAAACCTCACATATCAATTGTCATAACCCGGTCAGGAAGCTTTGAATATCAAGACGGAAATTGTCAAATATAAAATTTATTTAACTAGTCATTCTCGAAATTTTGTTAAGCATAAAAATATTTCAATATTTATAAAATAGCAAATGATATTAAAAAAAATTTAAAATAAAAAACATTCATGTTTAAAATATTTTTCAAATTCACAACTTATACAAAAGAATTGTATTACATTACCTATCTCTTTTGGCTCTCTGACGTTGTAGACAAATTTTCTCATGTCCATTTAATTTTAAAAGAGATTTATGACGTTGTAGACAAATTTTCCTTTTATGTCCATTTAATTTTAAAAGAGATTTATTTGAAATTGTGGTTGAATGTGTTTCTAAATTATAGTAATTTATGAATTAGAAAAAATGAGAAGTAAAGTGCAATAATAGATAGCTTAGTTTTCTTATTATTATTTTCATCGTTTATCTTATTTTATTTTATAGTACACTGATCTCAAAAATTACCACCTTTCACCACTTCAAAATAAACCTAAAAATTTGCAGCAGTCTTTTTTGTTTTTTTCATTTTCATTTACATGCATGAGTACATTGCATCCCAACCAGTATTTGAACTCAATCATCGAAACATGCACTTGCAATCATGTATATATATCTAGGGCTATCAAAAATACTCGTTGTTCGTGAACAGTTCGTGTTCGGCTCGTCGGGAAGTTCATGTTCGATTCGTTCGATAAGCAAACGAGACGAACGCGAACAATTTTTTTTCATTCAGTTTATAAACGAATCAAACACGAACAGTCATTTGTTCGAATCGTTATTGTTCGAAATATAAAATAATTTAAAATAATTATATATAAAAAATTTATCATATTTTAAAAATAATTATATACTCTAAAAATTTGTTATATTTTAAAAAACTAAATCCTATAAATTATAATCTAATCTTCAAGTTCGCCTCTTAGCTTATATTAAATTCTACAATTTCGTATTTATCTTCAGGTTCGTCTCTTAGCTTAAATTTTCTTATATTTCTTTTAGATTTATTTAGTTTCTTTGTGTGAAATCTAATTTTTGGAAGTGAAATCTTGCATATCGTCTCTATATCTGAATTTTTTATGGATGAGATATGATATTATGATTTTATTGTGAGCTGTGTTTCGACTATTTTGTATTTGTGTTGTGATTCATAGAAGTTTAAGCATTAATTTCATATAGGTTTAAGCTTTTGAAAGATTTCAAACAATTCGAACAATTTGAACAATTTGAACAATACAAACAAATTTGTAAGTTTTCGAATAATTCAAACAATTCGAATAATTCAAATATTTCAAACATTTCAAATATATTTCAAATAAATCAAACCGAACACGAACAGTAATTTCACGAACAATTTCAAACACTAGTCTATTTCAAACACATAATTTCAAACAAACTGAACACGAACACGAGTTCTGTTCGTTCGTGTTCGATTCGCTTACACCCTTATATGTATAGTATTTTTTTTTTCATCAAACATTTTTATTGATCATATCTTTGTGCTTGTGAAATAATCTTGAGATTCAAAACATGAAAAGTATTGAATTTTATTTATTTCATATGAAATTATCATGAATAAATAAAGAAAATTTTGCTAACACTGAAAATTTCCTCAATGTATGTAAAAGTTTAAAAGTATCTAATTGCATTTGATGTAGAGGAATAAGAAATAATTGTTATAAGAAAGCAACGCAATTACCCATCTTATTTGGAAGGTGTCTCGTTTTCTCTTCCTTCTTGGTTGTTACTTCGCTTAAAGGGAGACCTCTAACACAATTATATACATAGTTAGTAATTATCAAATTATAATTTATTTTTGTTATGATTATTATATGTACAATTTTGAATTTAATTGATTAACCAGGTTTTGTCATTGTCTTTTTCTCTTCTAATTTAATTCAACAAAAAAGCTATTATTCTATTTATTATCCTCAATTGCTTGAGAGAATTTTGCGTACGTTGTCCGGAAGGTGCTGCGTTCAGACAACGGCCGCGATACACTTGATTGCTGCATTTTTTTTCTCTGCCACGATTGGAGATACTATGTCGTTGTTCGGATGCAGCTCTTCTTCTGGACAACACACGCAAAAATTTTTTCAATTGCTCAGTTTAGATTAAATAACTTGTTATTCTCGATCTCAATGTAACCTAAATAAGCCACTATTTTATGATTTCTTTATTTATTGGTTAAAATTCATCTTAACAATATTTTTTCTACATAATTGAATTATCACTTATAATTTAGTTAATTAAATGACAATTACAATCATTTATTCTCTTCTTTTATTAGTTTAAAATTTAGATTTTTATTTTCTAATCAAAGTTAATATTTTTAAAGATCACCATTTCTCATATGTTTTTTGTTTTTACAATTAATAAAATAGATGAAATTGGACATATGTTTTTTGTTTTTACAATTAATAAAATAGAAATTGATTTATTCTTTTTATATTAAATTTATCATTCTTTCATTATTTAATTTATTAAATGTGACTTAGGGTCTATTTGGGGCAGCTGCAGCTTATCCAGGTAAGCAGCTTATCCAGATAAACAGCTTATTCAGATAAGTTGTTGATCATCAGCTGATCCGGATAAGCTGGCTGACTGCTTGGTTTGTGCATTTGGAAAACAACAGATTTGTAACTATTTCCGGATAAATGATCATTCTGCCCCTGATCTGGATAAACTGACTGACTGTTTGGTTCGTGCATTTAGAAAACAGTTGATTTGCAACTATTTCTGGATAAATGATCATTCTGTCCCTGATCTGGATAAGATATATAGCTGTTTGGTTTGTGTATTTGGAAAAAATCTTATTTACAGTTATTTCTTGATGAATGTTCATTCTGTTGTTTATGGATAAATAACCAACCTACACATCTAAGGCCACCAGAGCACACCCAAGCCACCATAAACACCACACACAAGCACACCTCACATCCACCACCAACCCACACACCCAAGGCTTGCAGAGCACTGTCAATCCACCATAAAATGCTCTCACAACCACCACACACTAGCACAACTCACATCCACCACTAACCCACACACCCAAGGCCAACAGAGCACACCCAAGCCACCATATACACCACTCACAACCACCATAAACACCACCTCACACCACACACAAGCACTCCCAAGCCACAAATCTTGTTTAGTATCGTCAGTTACAACTTTGAGTAGTTAGTAAAACAGGAGCAAACGCTAGTCATCTAGTGATTTATCACAATGACACCAAATATAAATAGGTCATTTCATACAGAAAATTCTAGAACAAGTGCAAATGTGCCCGAGCAAAGCAGTAATGCTAATTCTAAAGTTATTTCTGGTGTTTATCAACAGTTGTAGCATCATAAGTTACTGCTTTGAATAGCTAGTAAAACATGAGCAAGCGCTAGTCAGAGTGATTTACCAAAATGACACCAAATATAAATAAGTTCTTTCATCTAGAAAATTCTAAAGCAAACGCCAATGTGCCTGAGCTAAGAAGTAATGCCAATTTTTTTAAGTCCTCAGCGAACTTGAAGTTGATTTGCCACTTTTAGAGCTCAGTAGATTGTTGGAAGATAGAACATTTAAAAAGGCAACAATAGCTTTCGAATCTTCTCAAAACCAAATGGAAACCATCACAAATCACAAGCTTCTCAAAGCCAGACACACAACCATCACAAGTCATCACGCAACGCAAATCACAAATCACCACAGACACAACCATCACAAGCTTCTCAAAGCCAAATGGAAACTAGAAATCAAAATATCTCACAAAAAAATCCATTGCACTAGAATCGAGCGTAACAACACAAAGCACCTCACAGAAGATCGGACAGAGGATGAAGGAGGAGAAAGACGAAGATCAAGAGAGATCATTGAGAGGGAGACGATAGCAATCGAAGAAGAATGGAAGGAGGGCACGGGACGAGGGCACGAGAGGTATCTTTCCTTCAGCGAACGTGGGCATAAACCCACTTTTCGCTTAAAAAGTTAGTTGAAGATGTTTCTATAACACAATGATTCTAACTTTTTAAGCGGGCACGAGAGGTATCTTTCCTTCAGCGAACGTGGGCGCAGGGGGAATCCCGCATTGGGCTTTGGTAAAAATTTTCGACGGATTATTAAAAAACGCAGTGCAGGCACGTTTACCAAACAGCCTCTTATACGTTTTCAGAACGCAACACGGGCGATAAGCTCCCCCAAACATACCATTAATTTTTCTTTAATTAAATCTTAATTATTATAAATTTATTTAATTCATTTCATTAATTAATTTATTAAGTTCATGTAAATTAGTTTAATCAGTTATTACATAAATTATTATTATTACAACACTCAAGGAACTACTGAAAAATAAGGGTTCACAATGCTGACCCCAGATAATCAGGATAAAACTAATGATTATAATAATATCTGAACCTTCTGCTGTATTAGCATTTGACCGAGAACATTCACTCATATGTTTCTCCTTTTGTCAGTTATTAAAAACTTCTGCAGGTTCTTTAACATTCATTCATGGTTTAATTTATAAAAATATCAAACATATTTCAAGCATATTCTGTTCATTTTATTATTGTTGTTTGGGATCAATTTTATACTTTATTTTTTTAATTTTTCCTTTATTTTTAATTACATGTTTGTTTAATGTATTTTAGACATATTTTTATTTTTTATTTTAAAAAATAAATAAACATATTTTTGAAAATAGTTTCTAAAGAACTGTTTAAGATCATTTTTTATTTTGATTTTTTAAATTTAAAGATCATTTTTTATTTTGAAAAACATTTGAGTGTTTTTAAAAACAACTAAACATCGTAAACAAAACAAAACAATAATCAAATTTGATCCCACACAGCCCCTAAACAAATATATTTTCAAAATAAAAATAAAAATAAAAACAAAAAATAAGCGTGATCCAGACAAGCCTAGCTGATATGTTTCCTGTTTTCTGTTGTTTGTTCTTCTTCTAAATATTTCTCCATTAAATCAGGGGTGTTGGCTTCTTGAAGTATTTTGAAGTGAAGCAGCTGCCCAATTTTCTTCTCGCATCTCCCATACTCACCATTTCCATTGCCTCGGTTATTTATTATGCAAGTTTACTGCAGCAAAGTCTTCATTCATTCAGAATTACTTCTGATCCACATGGGAAAGATCATTCTGGAGAACTTATTTCTTCAGATAATAGCTCTACTTCTTTGGAGTTTAAAGGTATTTCTTCCCTCAATTTCATGCTAAAGAAGATGCTCGAGTAGCTCTGGGGAATATTTTCATACATACCACACAATTCTGATATTTTTTTTTGCATATCTAACACCTATACCGTCATATTTACATAGATAACACTCGGTTTTTTGACAACTTTTTTTATAGAGTATCATGAGGCATCCAGTCTTTTGCAAAATCGAATGGAGGTTTCATTTCAATCCGACCTTAACTTGCAATTACAATGAGGCCTCGACAGGCGGGTCACTCCTACTTACTTTAGAATAAAAATAGAAAAAGAAGTGGGATTCTAAGTCATCTTCTGTCTTTCTCGCGAAAAAATACCACTACGACTAACTTTTTAAGCAATAGAAACATCTTTTCATGCCTATATTTTTTAATACCATTGTGTTATAAATGTAAACATCAAACTTTGGATAATAGATATGTAAATGCATGAGAATTTTGGTATGTATGTAAATTTCCCTATTTATTCCCCTCTTATAATCAAAAAATCTGTCTTCTGAAACAGGGAATCATGATTTGCCAAGGAGGAAAAGTAAGAATAAACCGAAGTCTTCTGACAAATCTCATTTTGTGGAGCTTGAAATAGATTCCTTCATTAAATTTAAAAAAGGATACTGCTCATGGCACTCTTTGTAATGCACGTGCAGGTCAGAAATTTATATTACTCTGCCAAAATTTATTTCCTTGCAATTAATTTATAAAATCTACTTATGATAGATTTAGATACACACCACTCAATTCCCATATATTTACATATCTAACACCTAAATTTTAATTTTTTACATAGATGCCACCTTACCTATACATGAAAAGGCATATTCCACGTTTAAAGATATTTTTGATGTGATACGAAAGACTGGGGTGATATAAATGTAAAAAGTAAAGTTTAGCTGTTAGATATGCAAATACATAGGAACTGGGTGATATATATGTAAATGCTGCCCCTTTACTTAGATATCAAAGTCTTTAATTTGTCAACTTTGTTTTGTTAGAATTAGGGGAGTTTCTTTGTTAATTCCTTTCACTGTACCATTGTGTAAATAATGTAAATTTCCTGTACCTATCAGTACATTTTTTGTTCCCTTTGTTTGAAGTGATTTTCTATTCTTGCAGGTGGCTACAAGAGTTTTGTCTGCCAGCCCACCTATTTACTGGTTTGCTTCATATTTAGTGCTCTCTCCAGGCACAACTTCAAGAAGAATTGGTAATGTGATTTGGTCTTATTCCATAGCTTACATTCTTCTTGGTAGCCTTCTCTTCTCAAATTTCTACCCATTCACATGATGTATGGTTAAAAATATGTGGCATTTACATACATACCATCCAATTCCTATGTATTTACATTTCTAACACCTAAACTTTATCATTTACGCTAAATTATTATGATATAAAGATTACTTCTATGTGATAGGGATACCAAAAAAATGACACGTGTAAGATTACGATGCTCCATTGTCACATATTTTACATATATGTCACACAACACGAGGAATCTCATCCCCCATTATTATATCCCAATACAGCTTTCGACCAACGGCTACAAGAACCCCTAATTACGCTCGCCGCCGGCGAGCTTCGCCGCCTCGAGATCCACCGCTTCCTGAAGCAATCCATGCCCTCCGTCCTCCTCAACCTCGAGAACAATCTGAACCGGGGAAGCACCGAGCCCGTCGGCGATCGCGAGAAGTATCTTCTTCATCTCCGATCGGAACTCGGCGAGATCTACGGTCCCGTTCCCATCGACATCGAACTGATCGAAGATGGAATCGTAGAGAGCGGAGATCTGATCCGACGGCGTGGCGGCATCGACGCCGAAATCGGCGTCGATGAGGCGGAAGGTTTGGAGGGCGCGGCGGAGCTCGGAGCGGGAGAGGACGCCGTCGGAGTTGAGATCGAGGGCGGAGAAGCGGTCGCCGATGGCTTTGTTGAAGGCGGATTCGTCGCCGACGAAGGATCGGACGGTGGAGCCGTCGAGGATTACTACGCTCATTTTTGGATTAGGGCGGTTTGTTGGGGATGGAATTGGGGAGTGGATGGGAGGAGATAAAGGGTATCGAGTGGGTAAAATTACAATAATGCCATTGTAGCAGTGGTGTTGAAAGGGAGTGGTTGGACCGTTGGAGTGGTATTGATACTACGCTCATTTTTGGATTAGGGCGGTTTGTTGGGGGTGGAATTGGGGAGTGGATGGGAGGAAATAAAGGGTATTGAGTGGGTAAAATTACAATAATGCCACTGTAGCAGTGGTGTTGAAAGAGAGTGGTTGGTCCGTTGGAGTGGTATTGATGTGGTATTGATAACATTGGTGAATGATAAACGTTTTCTATTGTTAGGGTTATCATTGACATCAACATTAAAGCGTAAACTATTAAACTTTAGAGGGGGAAAAAAAATTTTAAGATGAGATTTTTGAAAATTTACATGTGTACCATATAATTTCTATGTATTAGGTGTCTATTATTGTAGATAAAAAATATGTCAACACTGATTTTGAGAAGATCTAACGGTCTAGAAGAGGAGGGCACGACAAAAGAGGGCCCACCAACAGAAAATAAGGAGGCCCACTTATTCGTCTGATGCAATCATCTGAGCCAAGGATGGAGTCAATTGAATGCAATGGTTTAAGGCAAGGCCGAAACTGACCGAGCCACGAAGAGGACAAGAAGACGACTAAGTGATCTGAGATCGAACTGATAGGGCTGAAATGATCAAAACTCACAACACCTCCACTCACCAACTCTTCGCTAGAGAGCAGACTTGGTAGCTCATTCAAGTTTAGTGAGAATTGAAAAGTGTCTTTTGTTCTATAGCCTGAAGAAACAAAACATTAGGAATGAACCTCAGAGGTAATAATCAACCATCACGAGCGAATATTGTCCTTACCCATTGCTAGCATGGCTCAAACACACCTTAGAAAGCAGATGAATCATCGCTATGAGCCACCAAAATGCCTTATCGTGACGTACCATGGGAAGCCGACACACCCGACAATTTTCCTGACCCAAGAACAACCGCCTGATCTGATTTGGGGATTGTAGTACTCTGTTTAGCCGCAACAATATTCAACATCTCTAAAACGCAGGAAGCATGCCCTAGGCCGCACAAGGAGATCTCGGGCGTACAATCAACGACATTATAAAATGCTCGGAAGGTGCCTTTGGGGACTATAGGGGAGGATCCTTGTTGGGTCGTTGGAGGATCAACACAATTGAAGGCATTAGCGACGCCCTTAGAACCACACCACAAGATCCCTATGGCTTCGTCAACGGAGCATTTCGCTTATGGTTCAACTCGCTACCTCACACATGCTTATTAAACAAGCCTTGGAGGAGTATATTGGTTGGGACGATAGCATAGGCCGCAGTAAGCTTTTGCATTAGTCAAATTTTATGGTAAGAAGAACGAAGTCAGATGGATGAACTAGAGCTCAATGAAATTCCGGGAAAGTCTTGTCAAACTATTTATAGGAGTGCGAGACTTGAAATTAAATGTATAGGGCCTAAGAAAGCATTATTTTTACTGTATGTTCAAGAAATAATTGTTGAATCTATTAATTCTCTCACTTTTATTGTAGCATGACTTCCTAAGGTTTGAAAGAATTGGAAAATTAAATATGTACATACGAAAATGTATAATTCCCAAACTATAACGAGACCATCAGACTTTATCAAATAAAAATGGGCAACCAAAAGCCTTCTCCAGGTGGCCTAGGGGTTGCTCCAAACAGACTTGAAGTGATGATTGCTAGGAACTGAAGAGTCAAAGAAGCGTGATAAGCTGCGAGCGCCCAAGATTGACTAACCCGAGGCTAAGCGACTACGACCACTTAGCAAGCTAACTGAAAGATCACGCATAGAAAAAAATCGGCTGCCTAGAGGTTGGCACTAAATATCACACGGTTGACGGTAAGACTCGTGATCGAGACGATTAGCTCAAAATTAGAAACCGATAACACCCACGATCAAACTCAAGATCAAGGCGAATGGGAGGGGAGGTTATTGTTAGAATCAAGCGACTAAACTTAAATGTACAAGGTCCTGCACATGCCTTTTGAAGAGATTCTTTTATTTTAAATGATACCGCCAATTATTATTATTTTATATATTACCACACAAATCATATCACATAAAAACTCATAATTTTAACTTAGAAAAAATGAAATACATTTTTTTATGCATGAGTGTAAAAATTGACATTTAAGTGATAAATATGTAAGATAAGCCTCTAAATCATCAAACAAAAAGAATAAATAAATACATAATATAAAACCATTGATAGAGACATGATAATGACTTTTTATTAATTCATTAACTTTTAATAAATTATTCAATAATATTAAATAATATTATTATCATCACTTGCATTGTTTTTAAATAAATAATCATTTTATAAATAAATGATGACAACTAATGAAGGTGGGATTAATTTAATTTGCCGAAAATGATTACAACAAATTCCACAATAACCATTTTTAAAATTAACACACATAATTTAGGCATTTACATACACAACTTTTATGTATTTACATGTTCAATGACTAAACTCACTCAAATGCATATCAAATCAAAAGCATTAGTGAGTATTTACATGTTCAATGACTAAACTCACTCAAATGCATAACATCAAATCAAAAGCATTAGTGAGTATTACCAACTTTTCAAAAGTACAATACACATGAAAATTTTCATGTATAAATATTAAACTTTCGGGGTTAAATTTGTAATTGAATAAGAATTGCATGGTATGTATGTAAATTTCCTTGTAAAATTTACTTGATTGATCAATTATATATATAACAGAAAAGGCCAATCTTCCTCAACTCCTTTTGCATAAAAAACAATTTTGTTTACAAGGATAATCTGCCCAATTTGAAAACAATAGGAGGCATTTACATAAATAACACACAATTATCATGTATTTGCATATCTAACACCCAAAACTTCCATATTTACAAGCATAACACTCAAATCTTTAAATATCAAATAAAAAATAAAATCACAACTAACTTTTAATAATGAATGTAAATATCAAAATTTAGATGTTATATATGTAAATACAAATGAATTGTGTGGTATGCATCTAAATTTCTTAAAAAAAGGGATGACTTATATACACGCCACTCAATTCCTATTTATTTACATGTCTAACACCTAAACTTCAGTTATTTACATATCTAACACCTAAGCTTTAACTTTTACATACATGCTTGCTTATGCAAAAAAAAAAAAAATCACTTTCTAAAAATTAAAATTGTGATATTTTTTATGTAATATCGACTTGTCACCTCCCAAAAGAGCCTTTATGGGTGGTGGGCAGTCCAGGACTTAAATATTATTTTTCGGTCCTACACCAAGCTGATGTGGGATTATTTGTCCGTGACATTCTCCTCCACCCAATCACGTGATGCCCTCGTCACGGATTGGTTCCACCTAGGGTCCCACTGGACCATGGAGAGTCCACACACTTGACAGACAGTAGTCTGCTCTGATACCACTTGTCAACTCCCAAAAGAGCCCTTATGGGTGATGGGCAACCCAGGACTTAAATACTGCTTTTCGGTCCTACACCTAACCGATATGAGACTATTGGGCGGTATAAATGTAAAAAAAAGTAAAGTTTAGGTCTTAGATATGTAAATACATAAGAATTAGGTGACATGCAATCAAATTCCCCCAAAAAAAACAAAAAACTAAAAAAAAATGAAAGAAAATTCTAATCCGGACGTGCTGTTGACGGCGTAGATCGCACTGTGTTGCCGCGGGACTTATTGCGGATTCGATCTACGCCGTCGTTCGTACGTCTGCACCTAAAAAGACACCCTTTATATTTATTGAGGGGAGACGACCGGCCCTGTAAACGACAACAGGGCAAGGTAAAAGGTAGCTTCATCTACAAATTCTATTACCTGAAAAGAATGGTTGGCTGCCGCTCTTTCTAAAGCGCTTCTTTCAGGCAATTGGGAACTCACCCTATCTGGATATAGTTGACGGTGCCTTCCTTCAATTACTTCCTTACCTTGGTCATAGCTGATTAACAATCTAGCCCCTGTAAAAATATTTATTTATTTTTTAGTCACTAATAATCATGTAAAGGAATTTTACAATCAAACTCCTCATAAAATGATGATTAATAAGTAGTTCTTTTTACAAACATACCACGCAAAATTCTTATCAGACCAAAAATACCAAGTGAAATACACCTTTTCAAACATAAGGGGTATAAATGTAAGAATCGAAGTTTAGGTGTTGCATAACTAACTCTAATAATACCACCTTTTCAAACTTAAGGGGTATAAATGTAAGAATCAAAGTTTAGGTATTACTATTACATACCAGGACTTCATGACTAATTCCAATAATGATCCTAAGGCTTCAATAAGCCCAGATATGAATGCTAGGGTTTCAAAAACATCAGACATATACTATTGAGTTATAATTGCGGTTGGTGAATAGAGCAAACTATTTTCAGTGTTCGCAAATTGGGGTAAAGTACAGTCCTTAATTGCAAAGTTTAAGAGCATTCAAATAATCCTCCAATCACCATAATCTGAACTCACGACTATTCAATAATAGAGAATAGGTTTAAATGCGGAACCGAAGAAAGCCACGGCAAATAATAAACTAAATCACAGGAACAGCAATAGAATGTTGTATAATACCCAGATTTAAATAAGGAATATTTACATGCATACCACTCAATTCCTATTGATTCATATATCAAACACCGATGTGAAAACGTTGATCATGAAATGCAAAGAATTGATTGAAACTGCGGAGAATGGTGAGTCAATTTCCATGTTTTTTGCTTTTCCGCATAACAAGATTCTCCTATACAAATGAGCAATGCCTCGATCATGAACTGATCCGGCCCACTCAGCATATGTATAAAACATCAATAGACCGAGAGCTGTGACGGAAAAAAAAACTTTAGAGTCAGGTGTACCTTTTAAATAGTGAAGAATCCGATAGACAACTTGGACGTGGTGCTCGTAGGGGTCATGCATGAATTAACTCACTATACCAATTATGTGACATATGTCAGGGCGAATATGGGCGAGGTAGATTAGTTTTCCCACAAGTCGTTGGCAATGAGTCTTGT